CGGGGGGTGGGGGGCTCCCGCGGGGCGGGGGGCAGGACCCCCGGGGCCCCCCGGAGCGGGGCGGTGACACCCGGCCCGGCCCCGCGCCCCGAAAAGGCACCGGGTGGTGGCAGCAGTTCGGGGGGGGCCGGGGGGGTCCCCACAAACACCTCCCGCTCCGAGGCCGTGAACCGCGGCGAGGGGGGCGCGGGGGCTTCCTCCTCCTCATCCTCTTCTTTCTCTTCCTCCTCCTCCTCTTCCTCCTGCTCGGGCTCCCCGCGGGGCCCGGCGGGGCTCGGGGGGGTCTCTCCGGCGCTGCCCTCGGGGGCGGGGACGGTGACAAAGCCGGAGGCGGTGGCCGCGTCCCCGGGGACATCCCCGGGGGGCTGTGCCAGGGGACACGGGGGGACAGCGGGGGACTCGCGGGATGGGGCCACCCCGGCTGCCAGCGCCACGGGGGACACGGCCCGGGCAGGGGGACACGGGGCAGGGACAGCGGCCGGGGGGCTGGGGGTCACCGGGCCGGGGGTCACCGCAGCAGAGGTCACGGTGGCCGTCTCGTCCTGGGGGGTCGGCGTCACCGACGTCACCGGGGCAGCGTCCCTGGTGTCCATCAGGGCAGGTGTCACCGATGTCACCAGGTCGATGGCCACAGCTCTACTCTCACCCAGGGGGGGCGGTGTCACCGATGTCACCAGGCCGGTGGCCGCAGTGGCCATCAGGGCGGGTGTCACCGATGTCACCAAATCAGTGGCCACAGCATCCTTCAGCGTGGATGTCACTGGCGTCACCAGGACAGTGTCCACAACTTCCATCTTGTCCAGCAGGCTGGGTGGCACCGGTGTCACCAGCTCAGTGGCCGTGACATCCAGCTCATCTGGGGGGCTCGGTGTCCCTGGTGTCACCTGGCTGGTGGCCACAGTGTCGGGCTCATCTGGGCAGCTGGGTGTCACCAGTGGGGTTGGTGTCACCAGGTCCATGGGCACGGCATCCGGCTCACGTGGTGGGCTCGGTGTCACCAGGCTGGTGGCCGCAGTGTCCGGCTCATCTGGGGGGCTCGGTGTCACCAATGCCGCGGCATCAGGGGCTGCAGCATCTGACGGGCTGGGTGCCACCAGGCTGGTGGCTGTGCTGTCCATCAGGGTGGCTGTCACCACATCTGCATCTGCAGCGTCCAGCGGGCTTGGTGTCCCCGGTGTCCCCACGCATCTTGTCCAGCAGGCTGGGTGGCACCGGTGTCACCAGCTCAGTGGCCGTGACATCCAGCTCATCTGGGGGGCTCGGTGTCCCTGGTGTCACCTGGCTGGTGGCCACAGTGTCGGGCTCATCTGGGCAGCTGGGTGTCACCAGTGGGGTTGGTGTCACCAGGTCCATGGGCACGGCATCCGGCTCACGTGGTGGGCTCGGTGTCACCAGGCTGGTGGCCGCAGTGTCCGGCTCATCTGGGGGGCTCGGTGTCACCAATGCCGCGGCATCAGGGGCTGCAGCATCTGACGGGCTGGGTGCCACCAGGCTGGTGGCTGTGCTGTCCATCAGGGTGGCTGTCACCACATCTGCAGTGTCCAGCGGGCTTGGTGTCCCCATGTCAGTGGCCACAGTGTCCAGCTCATCCAGGGGGGTTGGTGTCCCCGGTGTCCCCACGTTGGTGGCCAGCGGGGTTGGTGTCCCTGGTGTCCCCATGTCAGTGGCCACAGTGTCCATCTCGTCCAGCAGGGTTGGTGTCCGCAGTGTCCCCATGTCAGTGGCCACAGTGTCCATCTCGTCCAGCAGGGTTGGTGTCCCCGGTGTCCCCATGTCAGTGGCCACAGTGTCCATCTCGTCCAGCAGGGTTGGTGTCCCCGGTGTCCCCACAGTGTCCGGCTCGTCAGGCGGGCCGGGTGTCACCGGGCTGGTGGCTGCAGCATCCATCTCGTCCAGCGGGGTCGGTGTCACTGGTGCCACCAGGTCAGCGCCCACAGAGTCCATCAGGCTGGCTGTCACTGGTGTCACCACATCGTCCATCTCACCCGGGGGGCTCGGTGTCACCGCCGTCCCCAGGCTGGTGGCCGCAGAGCCCAGCTCGCCGTGGCCGTCACTCCCCACCGTCCCGGTGCTGAGCTCAAGGTCATTGTCACCGTCACTGTCACCCCCGGGGCCGTCCTGGGGCTCCCCGTTGGCCCCCCCCAGCGGGTGGCTCTGGGGGTCCCTGGCACAGAGCACGGGGGCCGGGGGGACAGGGCTGGGCACTGCCAGCTCCGGGCACGGTCCCTGTGCCAGCGCCGCTCCAGAACCTTCTGCTCCAGAACCTTCTGCTCCAGAACCTCCTGCTCCAGAACCTTCTGCCGCCTCCTCGGGGGGCTCGGGCGGGGGCCACACCCCCGCGATGGTGACAAAGGCGTCCCCGTCCAGCTCCGCGTCCCCTCCGGGGGGTGCCAGGGGTGTCCCCAAGGCGCCGGGCGCGGGGGGGTGACACGGGGACCCGGCCCGGAGGTGGAGCTCCACACCGGCGGGCGCGGGGGAGGCCGGGGGGGTCCCCGGGGGGGTCCCCGGGGGGGTCCCCGTGTCCCCCGCGTGCCGCTCGCTGCCGTACAGCCGCTCGTCCTCGTCCCCGTCGTAGGCGGCCGAGTCCGAGGAGGCGTCGGTGTCGTCGCGGAAGGCGAAGGCCTCGTCCCCCCCCTCGGGGATGGAGCTCTCGGACAGCGAGCGCAGGAAGGACGCCGAGGTGCTGCCTTCATCCTCCTCCTCCTCCTCCTCCTCCTCGTCGGGGGCCGCCCGCGGCGAGATCTCCACGGCCTCGGCCTGGAAGAGGAGACTGCCGCGGAACGGGAGCAGCGCCGCCGGGATCAGCCCCGAGCCCTCGTCCTCATCCTCATCCTCCTCCGGCGTCTGCCCGTCCTCATCATCATCGTCCTCCTCATCCTCGTCATCCGCACAGCCCGGCGGGGCGAAGGGACCGTCCTCGTCATCATCGTCATCCTCCTCCTCGGGGGACAGCGGGGGGAAGGCCGGGGGGTCCCCCAGGCCGGGGGGCAGCACCAGGGCCCCCCCCAGAGCCTCGGCATCGCCCTCGCCCAGGCCTTCGGCCTCGTTCGCCAGGTTGGGGGAGCAGGACGGGGAGGTGCTGGCGGTGCCCGAGGAGCCCCAGCTGCCGCCCTCGGCCGTCATGTAGGAGCCCGAGGGGGACGTGGGGGGCGAGCACAGCCCCTCGCTGTCCCCGTCCGTCGGCTCCTCGGGGGGCGGCCGCGCCCCCCCGGCCCGCACCGGCGTCGAGGGCGCCGTGAAGAAGAGCTCGGGGTCCAGCGCGGGGGGGCGGCCCGGGGGGGGCTCCTTGGGGGGCGCGGGGAAGGGACAAGGCACGGGGGGCCCCCCCCGCGGCTCGAGCCGGGAGGGGGCGGGGCGGGGCGGCGCGGGGCAGGTGCCGCTGATCCCCCCCCCCAATCTGAAATGGTTCAGTCCGGCACAACCCCCCCCGCCACGTGCTGGGGACCCCCGAAAGGCTCATTGAGGGGAGGGGGTCCTGCCCCCCCCCGCACCACCCCCGGGGCCGTTTTGGGGGGAGCTGTGCCCTGTAAGGAGGGGGGGCTGCCGGGACCCCGTTAATTCCCTGCCGACCGGGGCCGCCCCACAGCTCGGGGCTGTTTTGGGGTCCCCTCTGTGCACCCTGACCGCCCTTTTGGGGACCCCCAGCCTCAGCTCTGGGGGGGCACAGGGTGACCCTGGGGTGTGTCCCTCTCACCGTCCCCGCTGTCGCCAGCCCCGCGGGGACACCGCTGTGGGGTGACCTTGGGCCGTGCCTCAGTTTCCCACCCTGGGGCGGGGGGGATGGTGCTGGGGGTGGGGGCGAGGCTCAGCCCCCCCCCCAGTCCCAGCAGCACGTCCCAGTACGGGGGGCACAGCCCGGAGCCCCCCGGTGCTGCCAGGCCCGGAGCCCGGGCGGTGGCGGCTGCCGAGAGCCGCGGCCGGGCCGCGTCCTCCCGCTCCATCCTCATCCTCATTTCCCCGCTCCATCCTCATCCTCCGGCTCCGTCCTTCATCCCCCGGCTCCATCCTCATCGCTCCTGCTCTGTCGTCCATCGCTCCCGCTCCATCCTCATCCTCCGGCCCCATCACTGCACCCCTGTCCTTCATCCCCCACCTCGATCCACCTTCCCTCCGCTCCGTCCTCATCCTCGCATCCTGCACCCCTCCCTTGCTCCGTCCTTCATCGCCTGCTCCATCCTCATCCTCGGTCCTCCATGGCTCCCGCTCTTCCTTTCATCTCTCCGTCTCCATCCTGACGGCTCCGGCTCCCCCCTCCCTGCTCCGTCCTTCATCCCAGCGGCTCCATCCTCATCCTCCTGCTCCGTCCTTTCCGCTCCGTCCTCCATCCTTCCGGCCCCGTCCTTCATCCCCGGCTCCATCCTCATCGCCCCGCTCCATCCCCGTTCTCGGCTCCATCCCCGCCCGTCTCCCATCGCTCCGTCCCGCTCCCTCCTCATCCTCGCTCTCGGCCCGAGCCCCCCCCCCGCCGCCCCCGGCCTCACCTGCCTCCGCTCCCTCCGGCATCCCGCTCTGGCTCTCCGGTCCGCCCCCCCCGGCGGCGTTCGGGGATTCTCCGTGCCCG